TGTCTAGGGGGAGGTTCTAGCTTAATTAAAGCATCTGAGTTGCATTCAGGAGATGCAGGTTAGTGTCCTGTGTACCTTAACAGAAACTAAGAGGGATTAGCCCTTGTTTAAGGCTTTGAAGGCCTTCGGTTTAAATAACCTAAGTTTCTAGGGGATTGCGAGTACTATGGGAGATAGTGGCAGGAGCATAATTGATAGGGAGGTAAAGGTTGTGGTTATGGTGTTAGTTGGTTTGTTAGTTTGTCATTGTTTTATGTAGTTGGTGAAGTTTGGGGGTAGTGTGATTGAATTAGTTTGAATGGAGAGAATTATCTTGATGTTGTCATGGCAAGAAATGAAGGTCATAAGTGAAGGTGAAAGTAAGAACAATTGCAAACAGTCTGTTTGCAGCATGAGAAATTAGGAGAGAGAGAACTTAGATAACCTTTATACTAATATTTAAGACAGTTAAACATTTTGCTGAACTAAACATATATAGAACCATTTATAACCAAATATTGGTTATAAATAAAATATAATGAGAAGGAACAGCTCTTTAACTACAACCCTACTGCTTATTCTGGGCACTCGTTGTAACTTTCAAATTATTTTCTAGTTATAAAAATCCACTTCAGTTAACTAACTTCAGTTAGTTAACTAACAAATGTGCAAGGTTGGCACAGGTTCCTTCAAGGATTTAGTAGGGATGTATATTAATGCACATACCCGTATTATATTTATGTAATGTGTATACACATTATACACGTATATACATATATCTGTATCTCTCTGTATTATGGAGAGAGAGGCACCGAACTGTTAGTAGCATGTGAAAGTGGCTGTTGCTTTCTCTGGTTCTTGTACTTCTGTGTTTCATTTCTGTTCCCCACTGTTCACTTATCCTTTTTCTTTGATAAATATACTTAAACATTTTTTCAGCTCTGTGGCTGTTAATAAACCATAATATGTACTAGTATGTTGCCTGTACTATATGCACACATTTTTCTATACCTGTAACCACGAGTGAAGGTCAATATACTCACTAGGGAATTGCATAATAGGACTGCTTGATAGAGCAAATAGGTGATGCTCAGTGATTCTAGGTAGATTGTCGAGTTCCTTTTGCCAATGCTTTCTTTCAACCGATAGATGTTCCTTTAAAAGCTTAAGTACTTTCCTAAAAGCACAGGATTGAAAGATGCCTGAAAGGGCTGAGTTCTGTACTCTGCTAGTGTAGGCAATAGACTAATCTCCTTTATTATTCTGTCCTAGGAACAGTTAGGCCTTCTGCTGTTGCTGCTTGGAACATGGAATTATTTCAGCACCTTCAATAGCACTGGAAATGTAGTATGATTTATTTGGGGGGAAAGGCCAGGAATTCCATATGCACAATGGAGTTATAATGCATCACATCCTGTGCACCCTGTAAAGATATCTACTTTACTTGTCATTTCAGAAATGTTCCTGCCACATAAAGGAATGTGGCCCTCCAGGTGTAGCAAACTCTGCTGTAATCAAATATTGGCATCAAGTATTCTCTGCTCTATTGCTGCAATAGTCCGTCTGCAAGCACGTCTCCATAGTGTGTGTGAAAATGAATGCTGGAGAAGACCTCTATCTTTAGAGCATATGCTCGTTCCCCAGTAAAATGGATGGAGGATCAGAGATTTGAATAAATGAGTCACTGTGACTCACTACAGTGTATCTGTAATAAAATCTATCTGAATTTGGTAAGGAACTCTAGGAACTAATTGCCCTAGTTACTTACCCGTTTTATTTTTTTGTAGATGTTTGTCCCTTGCTTTTGTAGCAGTTATGTACTTTATGTACATAAGTAAGATTTCAGTAATGACTGTTATATGGTATTCTAGATTAAGGACTTCTGCTCTTGGAAGATTGATTGGTATCATATTTTCCGTCACCTCTTTCAAAAACTGTAATGAAATTAGGAATAGCAAGAGCTCTCAGAATGAACACAATTTGCAATTCTTGTAGAATTTAAAAAAACCCATATTCGAGCAACAAACAAAAATAAAAATAATTAGACAATATAAGAAGGCTGTGTGGACCACAAGTTGTCCACAGACAACTTACTTTTGTGCACCAGCATTCTAACTCCTTTGAATACAAGATATAACTGTTCAGTCCTTCAGTACCTGTGTGAAGATGTTAAGTAGGAAGCAGAGACCATAAAGGCAGAAGTAAAAATTGGTCCTCTGTGAGTTGAAGCTGTTAGTGAAAGTAATGATATCTTTGCATTTATGGATTAGCAATAAAATTCCTCTTTGCAGAGGGGTAATTCCAACTTATGCTTTATTTAAGTGTGCTATCAATGGGACATGTTTTCATATGCTTTACGTTTTAGCCAATGTAAAAGCCAAAAGGCAATCCTTCCTTTCTTTATCTCTTCTTCAGTATGCTAAGTGTCTAAAATGAAACTGGAAATACTCAAAGCAGTTGTGGACTCAGCACCTGTAGTCAGATGTTAAATGTAAATTACGGCAGCATCTTTAAAATGACCTCATAGAATGGTAGCATTTGCTCTGTGCTTGAAGGACTTGAATTTTCAAATTACAAATTTGCTTCCTTATGAGACTGTTATCAGAAGGCATATCAAATCATTTTCTCACTTTTCTGAATATAAAACAGTAAGTTTATTTTGGAAGTTACTAATTTGTATCTAATTGCAATAGAGGGAGGCTATAGCTAATCTTGTTTACATTCAGACGTACCTTGAATGTTTTATCAAGTCTAAACAAAAGACAGGTTGTACAGAATTTGAATAAAAATTTTGAAGTTTTAACAAAATTCCTATTTAAAATAGAAAAGAAACAAACTGCAACAAAGTAACTGTTGTCACTTTGCCCATAATTCATATTACTGGTCAACTGGTATGTCTAATCTGTAAAATTGTATGCTCTTCTCAAATCTTTACCCTGTTTTGTCTGGCGATTTTAAGGTGTTAGCTAAAAATTTCAATGGTGTTAGCTAAAAAATCCATATTAGTTGAACAATTAGTTTTCTTTTTGTTCCTAAATTTTGTCTTGCAATTCATTCTGTATGATCTATGAAATATCCAATGTGAGCAGTGCCTAAGCATTTAAAGGTCTGGTTTTTTAGCAATGGTAAGTACCTTCTGCTCATTAATAGTCATCATTAACCTTGGCAGCTCCCAACCTTTAAAGAAAATTTTTCAGTGTTATCCTTGGGTTTTTCTTCAGTCCTTTCATAATACTGTTAGGCATAGCTGGCAAGTACAGTTATGTCACTGTTGCATTTTGCCTCAGGGTGGATGAAATTTTATGGCTCTTTGCATAGGACTTATACCAAAAAGAAAACAAAATTTTGACAAATCTGTGCTATTCTTATTTAGATGGAAGGGACAGAGCAAAACCTCCAACAAAGTACATCTACTTGCGTTGCTATGATGAAATATTTTATTTATTGCCCTTCCAATAAAAGAATATTTTTAAAAGCTGTGTGTGCTATAGTCCATCCAGGGGCATGGTATAATCTGCCTGACTGGAAATGGTACTGGTGACTTGGAGTGCAGCTGCAAGGTTATGGTCAAGTAGAAGCAAGTGTTTTTCTGCAAAATCTCAAATGGGATTCTTCTAAGCTGCATAAACAGAGAGGTAGTTTGTCATACTTGCTTCTCCTCATAATCTTTGCATATGAACAAAGAAACGCTTTTCTTGTGGTTATTTAACCATTCAAGGGTTGATGCTTTGGGCTGGTGAGCTTCCCTGATAGACATGTTCTGAAGTTCTGACCCTCTGAATAAGTGTAGCACTCACTAAATAAGTGTAATATCATCCCTCAGCTGTCAAGTTTAGGTTTTAGGTATATATGTGTATTTATATCCTAATTCTGAAAGCGACTGCTAATTTTGGTGTGAAGCATAAAGAGTCTCTCTACTTAGAGCTCATCTTAGGGCTGGAATCTTTAGGAAGATCAGTCCCTCTCTGTAAACAGCAAAATATATTTCAGGAAAACTTGTCCGTCTCTTTTAGATGATTAATTCTCTATATAGTTTTATGAAAAAGTGTCATTAGAACTGGATGCTTAGTAAGTAGTTAAAATGACACTACTGATTGAGTATTTAGTATATGTTTACTTCATTTGCATACACTGTGTCTCAGTAGAATAGCTGGAGGGGAATTTACTTGTGTATGAATGTAAGCATCCCATATATATCAACATATTTTTGAAATACAACCAGTTTTGGGAAAAAAGTTTTTAAGAAAAAGTCACTAACAGAAGGTAAATGGTTTTACTGCTAATTTTGCTTCAAGCACTGGGATGACATGCTTTTTTCTGTTTTTTACTGAAGTCTCAAGAGATAGTGTATTTGTTAAATTGATATTAATTAAAAATGAGAGAGCAATTTGGTAGGTTTAGACTTCATTAGATTCTTCAGAAAAGCCCAGATAACACTAATGTGGAGAGAAGAACCTAAAGCTGTTTTGTATTCCTTCTTCATGCAGTACCAAAGCGACTTTCCTATGAAATTTCTAGTTTTTAATAATATGGGACTTTTGGGGGTTTTTTTGAATATGAGTATTCAATAGGAGTATTTAAATTTACTCTCTGATACCGGTGCATGCAACTTCATTTGAAGTCACCAAGAAGTGATGATTTGACGTCTCTGAGTCTCTGAGATTACAGTGGGGGGAATAATTTGAAGGACTGTTGGATGGTCTGTGCAGAGCCTCCTGTTTGCTGCTTCTGTAATGGAGTGCTGCGTTCCAGTGTACAGTATGATTTTATTGGAAGCGTGCAGTGCCTTCCAAAAAGGTCTGACGATGAGAGATTGTGCGTTTCCTGACAACCATGAAAAAACAATTCCAGCTGTTCTTGAGAGACGCCTAATGCTGTGCTGAAAATTGCTATTTTGTACATCTTTAGGATGTAAATGCGATGATGTTTATCTGGCAGTATTGTTTAACCAGTTCTTGTTAAATAGCTGTTAGCACAACATGCAGTTTTGGTAATGCTGTATTTGTTTGCAATCTTTTAAGGTTGTGCTGGTGAGATGGAACGAACCATTCCAGAAATTAGCAACCTGTGATGCAGATGGAGGAATATTTGTTTGGATACAATACGAAGGCAGATGGTCTGTGGAGCTTGTGAATGATCGTGGGGCACAGGTTGGTATGCATGTTTTCTCTGCAGTTGAGAGTGATCACATCCTGAGAGGCAAAATGAAGAGGACAATCAATGATGCTTTATACCTTTCAAAAAGCACAGGAGAAAATGAAACATTTCTTTGTTGAAGAGAACATGCAAGAATTGTCACAAAAGCGCAGTTACTTTCTCTAATAGGCATGACAGTGCTACAACTGGGTTAATAGGTGCCCTGTCTCGTTCTGTGCAGTGTTGCCTTTTATTAAAACAACAAAATATTCCTACATGGCCCATATATCTGTTTTCTTGTCTTTGATATGTCAAGGTAAGCGACTTTACATGGAGCCATGATGGGACTCAAGCACTTATCTCCTACAGAGATGGATTTGTGCTGGTCGGTTCAGTCAGTGGACAAAGACACTGGTCTTCAGAAATAAACTTGGAGAGTCAGATCACCTGTGGAATATGGACTCCAGATGACCAACAGGTAATGAATGGGGCATTTAGAGGTGTCAATTGGGTTGCATTGATATGTTGTAGACTACACCTTTTAAAACATTGTTAAGTAAAATGGTCACTTGGTAAGATCAGTTTCCCTCGAAATTGCTACTCCCCCCAATAAAGAAAATTTAATTCATCCTGTTCTCATTAGGCAAATATGAAAATGTACCAAGTTACCTATCATCACTTTTCACTCTGATTCACACACAATCTTATTCAGTTGTTTGAGACAGGAATCTGTAATTGTACCTTTAATTTGTTGGTACAGGTGTCTTGAAAATGCATTTGAGCAGAGGTACAGCCTGGACTATTAAACATCTGACTGGTCATTTTTGTGTAGATCTGTCCAGTCTGCACTTGCAGCAAAAGCAGTTCCAGCTGCAGATATAGTTATGTTTTGCCTTCATATAAGCAAATGGACCCAATTAACTGAGTGTCGAAGAGATGTCTCAACATTATGCAAACAACATAATTTAAAAGAAGGCCATTTTTCCAACCATTGAGTTCAAATCTTGCTAAGCATTGAAAAAGCCAGTTTAAAAAAATCGTCTTTACTATTTTCTAAAGAATTATGTGATATTGGACACATCACCATTTATAGCGTGGCTTGAGCTAGGCCACTGGTTTCATCTGCAGAATTTACAATGGCACCTTGCCATTTACTACTGAGCTTACTGGATTGGTCTTTCCCTCCACATGCTTGCTGTCATTATGGCTGTGTATGTGTGTATAATACAGTGCTGAAAGAAATGATGGGCATAGAATAGTGCAAAGAGTAACTCTATTATGATCACAGCTGGATTGTTTTCCTCCCTTCATTTTACACCTCCCTGAAAAGATGCTGGTTCAAGACTTAAGGTAACACTAAATTTAGAATACTATAAATTCATCCAAGATAGAGTTATTTTGGGAATTTCTAGTGGAATATAATAGCACTAATAATATGCATTTCTGCAGCAGCATCTAATAATTTTAGAGGGCTCTGCAAAGAATAATGAATTAATTATTGCAACATTGCTTTTTAAAGCCAGTGTGTCTAACTGCCTCTTTTTGAATCTGGGGAAATGTAAATCTTGACAATGAATAATTTACTTGAGATCAAGAGGAAGAGACAAGCAGCAGAAGTAGATCTAATAGCTCTCAGTCCTGTGTTTTGAGTGTGAGGCTACCCCATTTGTGTGATGCTCAGTTATTACTGCTGTATTTGGAAGTATCTTCATTTGAGTGTTTAATTTGGAGTGGCTGACTGCCTTTAATTCAATTTAGCCAATATGTTTGTACTTTCTAATCTGGATGCTCCATAAGTGGTTATTCCAGGAAACAAACACTTGTTTAGCATCCAGATAAATGCTTTCGAACATAATGGCTAATTCCAGCTATGTGAAAATCACTTGCTTGACTTATAGACTCTACTGCTGACAAACTCACTGAAAATAGAGACCCAAACCAGCCACAAGCTTGATATTGCTCTGCACAGTTCTCCTAACTATGTGGTTTGCAGGGGTTTTCATGTTAAGTGATGATGGATCTTTTTACTGTTCTCCAGAGCTGGTGGAAAGAAGTGATCTTCTAAAATATATTTAGATGTATTTGTCTCTGGAGGCACAAAGAGATATGAATCACAGAGGTACTAGGCAAGAGACTATGCTCAGTTCAAACTAAAAATAGCAAACTAGAGGGAAGGACATTGCATCTATTACACACAAATAAGTGCGTATGGAAATGAGTACCCTTACTAGCTTATTTCTTTACCTAATTTCTCTTCTGATTTGTATCTGTGCAAATGAGAACAAAATATCACTCTGGTCTAGAATAGCTCCGGCATCTTCCCTATTGCTTAATGTAGTCTATTCGTCAGTAGAGTGAGTGAAAGATAAATGTCAACATTTAAATTTATATTTTCCTATTGTTCTTTTTGTCACCGCTCTGGTGCCGTGAGGGTTGCTAATGAATGTGTTCTTGGAAAACATTACACTCCATGGTCCCATGAGTTTAACACAATTATCTTTGAAAGTTAAATTTCCAAGGGGATTGTATTGTTCAGTATCAATTTTCCATTGTCCTGATAAAAAATTGCTTAATTTAGTATGTCTGTTCACCTCACCCTTCAGTTCTCTTAACTTTCTCCTTCACTCCCTTCTGCACGCATCCTCCTCTTTTCTGCTATCTCCTCCATCTTTTCTCCTATCTGTCTATTCAGCACCAGCAGACTGTCACCTCTGTCACTCCTCACTACAACTCTGTGGCAACTCTACAAGAGGAGGATAATTTCCTACCACCATCTTTCTGTTGGAGGCAAGAAATGGTTGGATTCTGCAGTATTGCCAACCATCGTCTTGTTTGTCAGAGTGTGTGTGGCCTCTGGGTTTGTGTCCTTGGTGTTGACACAGGCTTGAAGAAAAGCACCTGTGAGGTAGTGGCTAATGTCACCCATAGATGAAACTCCATAGTTAATGCTTTCTCAAGTCTTTTGAAAGCATGGAGATAGAATGAGAGCAATAGAGGTGACCAGGATGAAGTACAGTCCTGCTGAGATTGATATAATTGTATCTTTTAACTTATTTGTTAGGTACTCTGCCCTGATTAAGTTATTGGCTGATTTTATTAATACTAGATGAAACTGTTCTGCGTTTTCTTTTAGGAAGAGAGTTCTTGTGACTGGTTTTTTCAGGATTTCTCCTTGTCTTTTGGGGACAAACTTACTGTGAGTCATATGGATGACTGCAGTGCTTTTTCTCAGCATCGTATGTCTCAGATGAACTTCTCATTAAGGTCATCGGCAGATTTCTGCTATGGTTCACACCCAGATCTTGAGTCTGGACTTTGAGCTATGGCCTTCTTCAACTAATTCAATACATAGGCCTTTTGATTGTGATTCTGCATGTTTATTATGGAGGACTAGAAGTTAGTTTTCTCACTTCCTTGTATGTCTGTATTCCTGCTTATTTAGGCATTTTCTCCTGTACATTATAACTAGAGCAGACACCTGGACAAGGCAGAACCCTACTGGCCTCTTGGGGATATACAAAAGGAAGACTTTACAAGCCTGGGTCATCTGTATCTCAAGCAGAGTGCCATGCTTGCATTAAACTTGGATGGATAGAATTACTTAGGAGTGAGACCTTCTTTTCACTGTTTTTAAGGGCTACAAGAGACTGTAGGAGTCATGTGGAGTATTTTTCTGGTGAGAAGGCTCACCTAGGATCATGTAAGGACAGAAAGTATATTTGAAATATCAGAAAATGCTCTACCCTGTGTTGAGAGAGTTCTGTGGTGTCATACCACACTTGTTTTGCGAAGAGGGAGTGTGCATACCAAGCAGATTGAATGAATTCTAAGTGAGAAAAACTTGACTTTTGTCTAGTCAAAGGGTTTATTTATAATTATAGAAGCAATGTCAGTAAGTAATTGAGGATTTTTCCTAAACCCATAAGTTATATGAAACATATAACAGTGCTTCATCTCCCTTCCTTTGTGTTTGCTCAGCTCCTAGTGACATTTTTTAATCTATCAACTTCTGCCGCCTTTGGGACACATTGTCCCTCTCCTCACAGATTTTACCCATTAAAAAAATTATCTCTCTTCAGGATGGAGAAAGACAGTGTCAGAGAACTAAAAACTGTAGAGGGGTCTAATTATCATTTTGCTTATAGCAATGTAGTGTAACTTCTTGGACTTCCCTGGGGTTGTTTCTGTTGCTGTTTCTGTGTGTGAGAAGGGAACCAGAAGGAAATCACTCTCCAATAGAGGAAGGCTGTGATGAAAATTAATATATTTTAATTCAAGGTTATCCCAAGAGGTGCTAGTAATCCATATTTATTCCTTACATCTCTGCTAGTATAAATTATTAGACTTTTCCCACAGCTGTAAGTGCCTATTTCTATTTCTCCCCCCTCCCCTTTTCCAGCTGTAAACTTTAACTTGTGGAAATTCAGGGACTGGCTGGTATTTACTGTGGCTAGGATGTAACAGACTACAGGTATGTGTGAACTTTGTCAGCTTTTCCTCCTCTTTTCTTTGAAAACAGGTATACAAGCAGTTAGCTAATTTGATTTGCATCCTGCTGGGAACACTGTTGTATGTGGCTTCATTGCAATGCAACATGCATTAGTGCTAAGAATGTGTAAGTACAGGCCTCAAGATTCAGCCGCTCCTGTTTCTAGTGAGACAAAATTATGCTCTTGGTGAAACCGAAAAGCAGCACTGCGTTAGGAAGAGATACCTTGTGCACTGAAGGGTCTTACAATGCATTGGAAGCAACAATGAGACAGTAGTAGATGAACAGCTTTGTCTCAAAGCGCAGGGTGTGGGAGCTCTGTATGTTGTTTTTTAAAAAAACTCTTGCAGCTTGCAGTAGCTGTGCAGGAAGGCAGTTTCTGTGCTGGTACTCCTGCTCCCAGTGCTCGCCATCTCTATTCCCATGGCAACAACAGACGCTTCAGCATCTTTTTTCAGTGACAAGCAGGAGGCAGGGGCAAGCTTCACCTTCTTCCCCTTGCCTGCAGTGCTTCAGGGTGGAGCCCAGGAGTCAGAATGGAGCTTCACATGAAGAAGGGGATGCTTGTTATTTCTGGGTCCAGCAGTGTAGCTGGGTGGGATCTGTGTGCTAGTACAACTGGTGGTGCCCTACGTGTCCCTAAATAGTATCAGTGCTGTGCTGTGCCAAGAGGCTGCCATGTGGTAGCCACAGTTCTCATAGGAGGTAGGAACTGATTAATGAGAAGCGCTGTCAAATGGTTACTGGTGGCACTGGGTGTTTCATGAGCTTGTCTCTCAGGCTTCTTGATTTTGGTATGACTTTAGTCCCTGGCAGGAATTTACCTAGGTCCACTTTAGTAGAGTCTGCTTTTGGACCTCCCATTTTCATCTGTGAACTTGCATTTGCTACTACCTTTTCAGGGAAATGTTGTTCTGAACAGCTCCTAAGCTGGGAGGAGGGGTAGCAGCCTTACCTAGCTTCCAGAACACAGCTTACAACTAAGGACT